AAGGAAGATGAGGGACTGGCATTTAGCACAGCAGTTAAGATACTGCTTGAGGCACTGGTGTGCTGCTTCCTGGAGTGCCTAGGTTTGAGTCTTAGCTCTGCTTCAGAATCCAGCTTCCTGGAGGCAGTAAGCGATGGCTCAAGTACTCTAGTACCTGGGTTCCTGCCATCCACATGGGAGATCTGAACTGAGTTCTGGGCTTCTGACTCTGGCCTGACTGAGCCCTGGCTGTTGAGGGTGTTTGGGGGAGTGAACCAATAGATGGAAGACCCCTCTCTTTCTTTTCTATGTCCATATCTGCCTTTCAGATAAAATAAAAATAAAACTTTACTTTAAAAAAGGAAGATAACTAGCTTGTCTAAGGTTTTTTAGGTTATAGGTAACAGAATCCCAATTTTAAGCCAAAAAAATTACTGGGATCCCAAGGCAGGAAGAGTGGTTCCTGAGGGGCCAGGCTTGCCTTTCCTTCTAGAGCTGACTGGAAGACCTGGCTCTCGGCATCCATCCTCAGAAAGGGGGCAGAGAGAGGACTGGGGCCAGCATAAACCTAAGCATGGAGGGGTGATGATACAGCAGGGAAGAAAGGAGGGGAGGGATGCAGCGAAATTCCAACTTGCTCGCCGGGCCTTCGGGGCTTAGTAGCACTGCCCTCATTTTTCAAGCAAAGGGTGGCTAATTACTGCTAAGTAGGAGAGCTGGAGATGTGTGAAAATAGCAGCTCTCCCTCCTCTTGGCTGAAGACTCTTTCTTTTCCTTTACGCTTCTCCTCTGCTGTGGGACTTGATCCTCTTGGCTATGGGCTGGGACAAATCCCACTGATCTCCCATTTGCCTTCAAGTGATACCGATGCTTGCTGCTCACATGTCTGCAGGCCTGTGGGCTTCTTCCATCCATAATCCTTGCTCTCTGGGTCCACGGGCAACACTGAGAAGTGACTCACTCCCCTGTCTCAATGGCTCCATCCATTTCCTGTCACTTGGTCTCCATTCAGGAGTGCACTAAAGCCAGTGCATCCTGGTCCCCAAGAGCCAATTGTCAACTTTTTGAAATTTTGCATTTGGTCGACAACATTGTTGGGTTGAAATCAGCCATTATGGGCAAGTTTTTAGCATGGAAGTTGACAGATGCTACAAATCAGGCTCCCCTCAACTCCCAGCCTGTTGTTAAAACATTTATCAGCACATCATTGTCTCCATCTGCCCACTCCCTGTCTGCAAGATTTTTAAAGATGTTTATATGAAAGTTTATACTTAATTTTCAGTAATAAATATTCTTTAACTGTATTTATTATTATTATTTTTAAAATTTTACTTATTTAAAAGGCAGGGCAGCAGCAGGGGGGTAGGGTGAGGAGAAAGGTCCTCCACTTGCTGATTCACTCCCCAAATGCCTACAGCAGCCAGGGTTGGGCCAGGTTGAAACCAAGACACTGGAACCCCATCTGGGTCTCTCACATGGGTGGCAGGGACCCAAGTACTTGAGCCATCATCTTGTGTCTCCCAGAGTGCACAGCAGGAAGCTGGATCAGAAGCAGAAGAGGGACTTGAACCCAGGTACTCCAATGTGGGATGTGGGTTTCTTAACCACTGAGCCAAATAGATTTAACAGGGGCCAGCATTGTAACGCAGCAGATTAAGCCACCACTTGTGATGTCAGCATCCCATTCACAGTGCTGGTTCAAGTCCCTGCTACTCCGCTTCCAATCCAGCTTCCTGCTAATGTGCCTGGAAAGGAAGCAGAAGATGACCTCAGTGCTTGGAGCCCCTTCCACCCATGTGAGAGACCAGGATGAAGTTCCTGGCTCCTGATTTCAGCCTGGCCCAGACCTGGCTATAGTGGCCATTTGGAGAGTGAACCAGTGATAGATGATCTCTCTCTCTCTTTCTCTCCCTCCCTCCCTTTCCCTCTCTGTTGCTTTGTCTTTCAAATAAATAAATCTTTATATATATTTAATAGATTTTTTAATTTTTTACCTTCATTTACTTCTTTTTGAAAGACAGAAGCACAGAGACAGAGAAAGATCCTTTATCTTCTAGTTTACTCCTCAAATGGCCACTAGAGAGGTCTGGGCCAGGCCAAAGCCAGGAGCCTGGAATTCCATCCTGGCCTCCCACATGGGTGGCAGGGATCCAAATAAATGAGCCTTCATCTGCTGCCTCCACGGATGTACATTAGTAGGAAGCTGAATCAGAAGTAATATAGCCAGACCTCAAATCAGGCACTGCGATATGAATACAGGCATCCCAAGCAGCACCTTGTGTTTTTAAAAGATTTATTTATTTATTTGAAAGGCAGAGTTATAGAAAGAGAGAGAGGAAGAGACAGAGAGAGATCTTGACCATCTGCTGGTTCATTCCCCACATGGCTGCAATAGCCGGAGCTGGGCCAAACTGAAGCCAGGAGCCTGGAACTCTAGGTTTTCCATATGGGTGGTAGAGGCTCAAGTATTTGGGCCATCTTCTGCTGCTTTCCCAAGCACATTAGTAAGGAGCTGGATCGGAAGTAGAGCAGCAGGACTCCAACTGGTGCTCCTGTGTGATGCCAGCATTGCAGGCAGCAGGTTAATTTGCTGTGCAATAATGCTACCTCCTGCCCCCGCCCCCAACAAGCAGCAACTTAAGTCACTGCACCAAATACTTGGTTGATTTTTAAAAAGATAGATATAAAAGTAAGCTTTACCTCAAGTTTGGTGGTAATTTGAGGTGAAAAGTCTAAAGAACATGAATTATTCCTGTGACTTGGCTCCTTCTAAGTTAAAACGCTTAAACTTGTTGCTTTGAATGCACACTGCCATCCGCTTTCCCTAAGCCCTTATCTCTGCTGGGACTCCTATCTGGTTTTCCTGCCTCCAGCCTCCCCCTCCCTCAATGCACCCTTCCTATCTCTATCAGGTCAATCTTTGGAAAGCCCTGACTTTGGTCACGTCTCCATCTGGGGCCCTGCGCCAAGCTGCCAAATAGTTTGAACCCGGACCTGGATCCTGGGCCTCCCAGCTGTTTTTCCATCTTTTAGTTACCCAGGAAGCCCCAATGATGAACTTGGAAGACTTTCCTCCTGGTCTTAGATATGTGCGATTTCCTTTCCCCATCCCCTCTTGACAATCAGTTTAAGCGGCATTTCACCCATGACACCATCTGTCCCTTGGAACTCTCAGGATTCTGTGGCTGTGGCTCCAGTGTGTTCATCACAGTTGTGGCACCTCCAGGTAGACAACTGTCTACCACACCATTGCAACTGAGTGGTCCAGACCAGGGGCACCAGTTAATTGGTTAGAAATGTAAATTTTCAGGGCTGGCACTGTGGTGTAGCCAGTAAAGCTGCTGCCTGCCATGCTGGCATCCCACATGGGCACCGGTTCAAGTCCCGGCTGTTTCACTTCTCAACCAGCTCCCCGCTAATGTGCCTGGGAAAGCAGTGGAAGATGGTCCAAGTGCTTGGACCCTTAGGCCCATGTGGGAGACCTGGAACAAGCTCTTGGCTCCTGGCTTTGGCCTGGCCCAGTCCTGATTGCTGTGGTCATCTGGGGGAGTGAACCAGTAGGTGGAAGATCTGTCTCTGTCTCTCTCCCTCTCTCTCTCTAACTCTGCCTTTCAAATAAATAAATAAATCTTAAAAATAAAAAAAAATTGTAAATTCTTGATAATTCCCCTACCTCAGGCCAGAATGCATCAGATTTCTGGGGTGGGTAGATGGGAGAGGTGGCTTCTAGAGGATTCTACGTCATACTGGTCCTCTCTGCACCATTCCGTAGGCTTGTCCTACTCTACGATCTTTATGGTGGCTCCTCATGGCAGTCTTCTTCCTGTTCACATTTACTTCCCTCGCTCACTCATTCAGACTGCAGCAGCCTCCCCCTGTGAAGGGACTGCCTCAGCAAAGCTGTCGGAATGATCCCACCCACCCCAAATCACACTCCTTTTCTGTATTTTGCAGGCACCAGAACACTGCCCATGTGCCCAGCCCCTGGGGCTCCCTTCTGCACTCAGCCAGATCCACTGCTCCTCCATCTCCTGAGTCAGATCAGACACCAGGTAAGCACCGCGCACAGCTGTTCTGGCCAGCCCAGGGCAAAGGTCAGGGCTCCAGCGTGCTGAAGCCTCACTTTACCAAGAAGGGCACCCCCACCCCGGTTGAAAGAACAAAATGTCATCCTAAAAGGCTCAGAGGATAGCATTTTCAGGGGGGCTCTCAGAACTGCGATTTGAGGAACGTAGATTCCAGTCAAATCCAGAATGTGTCCTATTAGGGAGAAGTTTAGAGGGGACTTTTTCTTTTTAAGATTTTTTTTTTTGAAAGAGTTACACAGAGAGGCAGAGAGAGAGAGAGAGAGAGAGAGAGAGAGGTCTTCCATCCGCTGGTTCACTCCTCAAATGGCCACAGTGGCCGAGCTGGTCTGATCCGAAGCCAGAAATCAGGAGCTTCTTCTGGGTTCCCGATGTGGGTGCAGGGGCCCAAGCACCTGGGCCATCTTCTACTGCTTTCCCAGGCCATATCAGAGAGCTGGATAGAAAGTGGAGCTGCCAGGACTTGAACCAGTGACCATGTGGGATGCGGGCACTGCAGGCAGTGGCTTTAACCACTACACTACAGCGCAAGCCCAAAGAGGGGCCTTTTAAGGGTAAAAAAAGAAGATGTTTAAGTGAATTACATAGGTTGTGTGTCAAGAATTATGACTGGAGGGTAAGTTTATTTCTATAGCTCATTGGTCCAAGGTAAACCAGCTCAGACCATACCAGTGTTGTAGGAAATCCCCAGGATGTTCCTCCTCAGTGAATAGCAAGTTCAGAGAGTGGTTACCATAGCACAGGATGGAGTGAGGTCACACAGCAGTCGGTGCTGTGGGCCTTGCACCAGCTGTGGTCACCACAAGGCCAAGCCCTGGAGAACAAGATGACTTCTTTCTTTTCTAACTTGTTACAGAAAAGGTACAAGTGTCGTAAAGGAACTCCCATGTACCCTTTTCCCAGATTCACAAACCGCTTACGTTTGGCTCCACTTACTTCATGGTCTTGAGTTCTGAGCTCCTGGTTTTCACTTGACTCAGCTTCAGCTGTTTCAGGCATCTGGGGAGTGAACCAGTAGGTGAGAGATTGTTCTCTGTCTCTGTCTGCCTTTCAAATAAAATGAAAATAAATAATAAAAGACTTTAAAAAAGCAAGCTGGGAACATCGCATGTCTCTTTACCTCTAAATATGTCTGAGACCAAGGACATTCTCTTAGGTAAACACAGTACAATTTTCAACTTTAGGAAACTCAGCATGATACTGTTATCTAAACAGTAAATTCAAATTACAGTCCCAATAATGTCCTTTACATCTTTTGCTTTTTTTCTCAGCCCAGGTTCCAATCAAAGGCCATCCTTCTGTTTCATTTGGCTGTCATGTTTTCTCAGTCTCCTTTAACCTATTACAGTTAGCTCCTTTGTCTGTCTGTGATTTCTTGGACCTTGATATTTTTGAAGTGTGCCAGTCGGTTGTTTAATAGACTGTTCCTGAATTCAAGTTTATCTTGTGTTACAGGGTTGAGTTAGGTAAGCCTTTCTGACAGGAAGATCACAGCGATGACGTTGTATCCTTCTTGGCGAATCTTATCTCTGAGCCCATGACCACCTTCTGTCTGCAATATTGGTGATGTGAGCTTTGATCTTTGTAGAGGCAGGAAACAGCTTCTTTGTGAAGGCTGCCCTCTGCTGGCTACTTCCAACATTGCAGCTATTATGCCTTTGGGATGTTGTTGGGCTTGACAAAGAGCCGGAGGCCCTGGAGTGATCTTGGGAAAGTTATTCATCCTTTTTGAACTTCAATTTCCTCGTTTGTAGAATGTGGATGATAGTCCCTGCCTGGCTTCCCTCCTAGGGTGGTTGAAGGGAAAGATCTTACAAAGGTGCCCTTCAGGACTCACATCCAATATTTGCAAAATTTCCAATGCATATGTGGCTGCCACAGTAGAGCTGCCTTCTTGCCTGAGGTGTCCATGAACAAGCAGGCTCCTGAGTCAGGGTTGTGAAGGAATCCAGGGCAGCCTCAGGGAGCAGGAAGTCTAGCCTGCAGAGTTTCTGTCCTGTGGGTCCATATGTTGTGTCCCAGCTGGTCTTCACCCCAGCCCTTACACCCTACATCCAGGGGAGTTATGGCCACACAGCTGCTCCCAGGCTGGTGACACTCCTGGGGACAGAATGCAGCCCTTACCTATGAGCAGAACAGGTGCATATGACTTCTGACACCTACCAAACCCTGGGTGAACCTGTGCTCTTCAGTTTTGGCAAAGGGGCTTTCCCCTGTACTAACCGAGGAGTCTGTTTTCAGATGGAGTGCAAACCTGACCTGACCCTGACCTTGGGTTTCTGTTCACATTTCTTCATGTCTTTCTCAGAAGCTTGAGTGCCCAAACACTTCTTCCTCCCTCCTTGTGTGTCTTCTTCCCTGCTTCTAACAAATATATTTTGAGTACCAACTATATGCCAGGCCCTGCATTGGTGTCGCTTGGAGCAAAACCTGCCTCAAAAGAACTTACATGTGGGTATTTCCAAAAGCTCATGGAAAATAAATTTAAAATATGAGTTTATTTTGGTGCAAAGTATGTTTGAAATCTGCATATATCAATCTTCGAAAAGCTCATGGAGGCCGGCACCGCGGCTCAACAGGCTAATCCTCTGCCTGTGGCGCCGGCACCCCAGGTTCTAGTCCCGGTCGGGGCACCAGATTCTGTCCTGGTTGCCCCTCTTCCAGTCCAGCTCTCTGCTGTGGCCCGGGAATGCAGTGGAGGATGGCCCAAGTCCTTGGGCCCTGCACCCGCATGGGAGACCAGGAGAAGCACCTGGCTCCTGGCTTCGGATCAGCGCGGTGCGCCGGCTGCAGCGGCCATTGGGGGGTGAACCAACGGAAAAGGAAGACCTTTCTCTCTGTCTCTCTCTCTCACAGTCCACTTTGCCTGTCAAAAATAAAATTAAAAATTAAAAAAAAAGCTCATGGAAAACAATTATTATGGAAAAACTATGCATGGATTTCAAAATTATTTGCACCAAAGCAAATTTGCCTTTTCATTCCATTTTTTCATGTGTTTTTTTGAAGTGTCCTCATGGTTTGCTGAGTGAGGGAAACAAGGAGGGCAGTAACTACAGTGCGAATAGAGTCCCCGTGCCCTCGGAGGTGGGCATGTCCTGTCCCACAGTGCCTCTCAGCCACTCTTGCTACCTCCCAGGGAGCCAGGGAGCCCAGAGTCTCCCCATTATGCCTTACATTGATGTTGTGTTCTCCCTGGACACCGGGCTACATGGAGAAGTTCAGAGAAGGAGAACTACGAGAAACAGATCAAGAAAGAGAGGAGAGAAATATTTCTCAACATGAGCAGAAGTTTCCCTTTCTTCTCTTACTCAGATTTGCTCTTCAGAACAGAAGTATCTGTGGTAGTGAACTTGAGTTGCTCTCTGAGGGGTCTTCTCACTTGGGGGATCTTGGGACTCTTGAGGCTTGGCGAGGCCACACCACTGTGGACCTGTGAGCATGTTGAGCTCACACATAGCTCACACAGGAGTCTTGCACATAGCGGGGGATCAGCACACGGTGAATTATGAAGCAAACCTCACCTGGTAAAGCTGGCACTGAAGAGCAGGCTGCGAGGGGTCAGGCTCTGCAGGGCAGAAGCAGCCGCTGGCCCAGCTTCCCCATCAAATGAGGGAGGAACATCACTTCTCTTCCCCGAGTGAGAGTCTATTGCCTGATTCTCTCTGCCTTATAGGCTGCTTCTGAGGGGAAAATGAAGGGAGACACAGGACAGGGCTGCATGCCATTTGTGTGGAGATGCCCTCTACACCAACAGATGTCTGGAGAACATGTCTGGACCAAAAGCTATGACTGAGAGAGGACAGTGTGGTAGAGCAGCTGAAGCTGCCACTTGGGGTGCCCACATTCCATACTGGAGTGCTGGTGCAAGTCCTGGTCACTCCAATTCCCACCCAGCTCCCTGCTGGGGCACTTGGGAAGCAGCATTAAGTTCAACTCCTTGAGTTCCTGCCACCCATGTAGGAGACCCAGATGGAGTTAGCTCCTGGCTTCCTCCTGGCTCAGCCCTGGCTGTTGTGGCCATTCGGGAAATGAACCAGCAAACAGAAAATCTCTTTATTTCTCTCTGTCACTTTGTCTTTCAAATAAATAAATAAATAAATAAATCTCTAAAATCTCTTTCTGTCACTTTGTCTTTCAAATAAATAAATAAATAAATCTCTAAAAAGAAACTATGAAGGAGGAATCACTTTCTAATGTAATTTCACAGTGGTTGCCAGGAGCAACCACGCTTGCCTCCAACTGGTTAAGAGACAGAACAAAGTGTTCCTTATGCAGCCAAGATCAAGGCTTGTGTGGGCTTTGCCTTGACCCCATTCATACCTTCCCTGCTTCCTCGTCCACTCTGAGAATGCGCTATGTGAAGGGTGCTGGGGAAGAACATGAAGGAGGCTCACAAACACATCAAAGCACGTGCATAATCAGGTAATCCTGCTGTGCCAAGGCTGGCTGCTATTTATGAAAGTAAACTAGAAAATTCCATGAGAATCAGAACCATGTTGTCTCGTTCATCACTGTGCAACAGAGCACAGTACTATATCTGCCAAACGGGAGGTACACTGTATAAACTAGGTGAAGTGGGAGCCCACCATGACCTAATTTGTTTTATCATTATTGTATAACTTTTGTTCAGGAACCGACAGAATAAAGCTTTATGTTTTCTCATGCCCATATCCTCCAAGCAGTGCTTGGAAATTATGCAGAAATTCCTAGCCTTGCTTCCATTGGCAAGTCACAAAATCCTTTAGAAATTGTTTAAACAAGCAAGTGATGGTAATATGGAAGGCATTTCAACTATTGCCCACCAAGTTCTTGATTGACAATGTCAAAACAACCATCATAGCTAGAGCTAAGATATTCGGGAATGCAACAAAAATGAAGACAGAACAAAACAGAATCCTCCAAACTATGTCAGCTATAATTACAAAAAACAGGTGCTAACTTGTAATTCACTGAAGTACCGAAACTGCCTTTAGGGGCAGGTGAGCAAACAGTATATCTGAAACTAAGAAGAAAAACAAAACAAAACAAAATAAAGCTATCATAATAGAACTCGCCTGTCTGTCCTGAGACCAGGAGGGCAATACCTTCCTGGATTGTTCCACAACATTTACCTCTCAACCATCTGTTTCCCTGCCCGCCTCCTCCCTATCTCCTTCCTGTGGAAGCAATGCTCTTCTGGAAACAGGAATCCCTGCTGCTGCTCTATGTTATCTTTTCAACTTCCTGTCACGCTTCTGCAGGCACCTGACTTAGCCTTACATATGTGACAGGCACTTGCATGTATGAGAGGAGGAACGAGTGGCAGGAGCACAGCAGGACCTGAAAGGAGTCACCCCTGAGTGTCAGTGTCTGGGGGGACATTGAGGTCTGGCATTGCTCCCTGGTTCTGGGAGCTGAAATCCCAGCATTCCTGGCAGGTCTCTCCCATGGCTTTTGAAAGCTACCATTTATGGAGCACTGTGCTAAGTGCCTCATTAATTTAACATCAGAGCCACTCATGAGATGATTTTCACTCTCCTTTTGCAGATGAGGGTATGAGTCTCAGAAGTATGGGGTGGCTTGGCCTTTCTGTGGCTCAGAAGTGGCAGGGGTGGGACTTGAGGCCAGGTGGCCCCTCCAGCCTGTCGCCTTCTCTACTGTGCACGTCAGCCTTCCCTGGAGGCCTCCTGACTTTGCTGGCAGCATTCCTGTCTTTACTGCCCTTCCATCTCCCCCTTATCTATTTCTGGCTCACTTCCCAGGTCAAGGCAGACACCTGTCTAAAAACCACATATTGCATTCTTCAGCTTGGCTTTCAAAGCCCTCCACAGGTTGACCCCGTTGTACTCCTCAGCCCACCCTCCGCAGCCCCAAGCCCAGACGCCTTTCTACAGCCAGTCTGCTCTCGATCCTGCAGGCCCTGTGCAGCACCCCTGTAGAACCCTGCCTCCTGGCACTCTCTGCCCAAGGAGTTCTCCCCTACTCTGCTCCTTGGATCTGCGCCCACTGCACTCACCTGC